AAAAAAAAAAAATTAGCCAGGCATGGTGGCGCATGCCTGTAGTCCCAGCTACTCAAGAGGCTGAGGCAGGAGGATCGTTTGAGCCCAGGAGTTTGAGGTTGCAGTGAGCTATGATGATGCCACCTCATTCCAGTCTGGGTGACAGACGCAAGACCCTGTCTCAAAAACCCCTAAAAACCAAAAAAACCCACACAATCACACAAATAAATTAAATCCTTGCAGGTGATTTTGCCACATACCCCTGGTTAAGAATCCTTGCTAGTGGAAATGGCAGTATTCCTGCTGCAACCTGGCAGACTCCACACATACTTGCTGGGAAGAGGAGAAGGCACATACCTCTACTTGATGATTGCTCTCAGGTGGAAACACAGAATGTTTTCATAGCCTGGAAATCTGAAATCAAGTGGCACTCCAGGAAGAAAAGGTAGCCCTAATCACACATTTTATTCTCGCCCTGTCCTCTCGGCTATCATCACTCCAGTCCCTAGCCTGCAGTTGTATGAGACATTTCCTGTACAGAGCCGGTCAGGAATGAAGAAGAAATCAAGGACATTACCTGATGATGGATTATGTAGATGAGGAAGATGTGGTGGCACCAAGACCTCCTGGTGACCAGGCCGGCCAGTGAGCAACCTGTCTAGCAGCTTATCAGAAGAAGACACAGTCCAAGATTTGTAGGAGAACACCTGATTAGGATCACTTCTCCAGGGGTTCTCTAGCAACACCTGGCAGCCAGTTCTGTTATTTAATAAATCCTGCTCACTTCGGCTTTTCTGAGATTTCTGTGCGGTATGGTGAGGACCAGAGCTCAGGCCTGCGTGGGAAGTGGCCCCGTGGGAGGCTGTCAGGAAATTATTGCCCAGGGTGATGGGTGGGAGACTCTGTGTTCTGATTGGTGGAAGCCCCTTACGGGCCAGAGGTTTCTTTTCTGGCAAGAGATATTTTGAATTCTCTGAGGTCCTCTTCTTAAATTCAACCATAGCCACCTGGTCACCAGGCTGTTCTTGGCAGTTGGTACCCATGATGCTGTCAAAGGTGGTGATGATGTCATCAACTTCCGAGGTGTCGTCCCCCCTGTGTTGGTCCCAGCTGTGATCCTTCTGATGGGATCTTTGCTCTTCTTTCTTGTTTTTGCAGAAGATTTGGTTGAGCACACTGAACCGTCCCTCCTTCTTCTGGGGTCTACTGTTCTGGGAGGGAAGGGGTCGAGCAGGCTGTGCTCTATGGGAACGTAAAAGAACAAGGGTGGTGTGTGAGGATAGGAAGTGGAGACAACATCACTCACCAAAATATTGCCCCCCTGTTCTGTCTGCTTAATCAGGTTGCCTGAGATCCTTCAGAGACGCCCCAAAGCCCTCTCAAGTCAAAGGTGATGTGCAAGAACTCACAACACCCTTCATGATCCCCTTCCCAAAGGGGTACCTTACCATTGTTAGTTGTTTGCCCAGTGAGAACATTTCTTAGATTCTTCTTGCTCCCTCAGGGGCTATCCTTTCAAAACTTACACCTAGATCATCTGTTTTCACCAAGGGGTTAACTAAGCTGAAAATAACTTGAAGTGTTACTGTTCTCACTTCTCAAGGACCTCAGTAGGAGTGTAAGCTTTAAATCAGAGATGAAGGCCAAAGGTTTGAGTTCAGGCTTCAAATGGCAGGAGGAGGATGGAGGATGCAGAAGTGGGGAGAGAGTGGTTTTAGGCTTTCTCTGAAAGAGATACCAGGGAATCTGGACAGAGTGCTGACTTCAGGAACCTTGACCATTTTATGCTGTTTGTGTGTTCTTTGTTTCTCTTTCAGTTTTTTTATACTGAATTTCCTTTTGAAAATACTTCTTTTTTCTTCTTTTTTTTGAGACAGAGTCTCATTCTGCTGCCCTGGGTAGAGTGCAGTGGTGTCATCATAGTTCGCTGCAGCCTCAAACTCCTGGGCTCAAGTGATCCTCCTGCCTCGGTCTCCCAGAGTGCTAGGATTACAGGCATGAGCCACCAGGCCTGGCCCTAAAAAATACTTTTAAAAAAAGTGTACTAAAGAAAAACAAGGAAAGAAGCTTTAGTCTGGGATCCCCCTGGAGAAGAGGAAGTATGCATGCCAGAGCTGGGCGTGGCAGCAGGAAGGTGAGCAATGCCCTATGGGCAGGCAAATTCTCAGGATAAAGGTCAGCAGTTGTCCAGCTGGCTCTACTTATGTCTCGAGAGCTTCCCCGAGGTACTCTGCTGGTTTTTTATCTTGGAAAATTTTGTGTGATTCTCTTTTGAGGCCCCAATTGACTTAATGCTTTCTGCAGTACGAATTAATGATGAAACCTGACCCATGTGCATGGCCCTGAGTCAGATTGCAACATTATCTTTTGGAGTGAGATATTGTAATCTGTAATGTGAAAAACATTACCACTTATTTTGGATGCATATAATGAATGTTTTCTCGATAGGTCACACAGTACATAATTGAATTTTCATTTCTATAATGTATTTTTATCTTCATTTTTTCACCTTTGATAGGCATTTTGAAATATTGAACACAGCTTGTGGACTCTTAATACTACTAGAGAGAATCCCAGGGGAGGTC